TAAACAACAACAAAAAAATTTGCAATTTCTTAGTATGCTGTAAGTGATCATGTAGCTGTTCTCTTCTTCCAAACCTCTTACTACTGAAGTTGTGTCTTGTTTCATTTATATTTTTCCAGCAAAATAATTTCTTTTCTTTTCCTTCAAACCGTGCTGGAGGTACCGGAGTCCTTCTGCTCCCCACCTTGCCCGAAAGGTCACAAGAAGCTGCTGACAGGTCAGCATGCCTGCTGCTTCGACTGCCAGGCCTGTCCCTCTGCCACGTTCCTCAATAAAAGTGGTAAGGCACAGACAGGAAATAGAAACTCATGAGAGGGAAGCGAGGTTTGAGTTCTCTGCGTAACATCCCATTGATATCTGTGATCTCATTAAACAAGACGGGTCCAGCATCAGCTAGTCACTGCATGGTTGGAAAATTGTTTACATTTGATTTTTATAGAATAGATAAATAAAATTACTGAACAGTTGTATGTGCGTGAATGACCAGCAGGTGGCGCCGAATTCACAAGTTATACTCTGACACTAATTCACAATTAGACCAAATTTAGATCCTTCTTGAATTGTTTATGAAAATGTGTACAAAATGAGACAATGATGCTGATGCTAATGCAAATATGCTTCTGTATAAGTTCAACATTCCAGTTATTTTTCTAAATTTGTATGTTTCTCTCTCTTTTAGACCTGACAGATTGTCAGGCCTGCCTGCCGGAGCAGTGGGCCCCCCCATCCAGTGAGGAGTGTCTGAACAGGACGGTGATACAGCTGGACTGGGACCACCCTCTCTCCATAGCTCTCCTCTTCTTCTTGGCCTCCTGCCTCCTCCTGACCTCCAGCACGGCCGTGATCCTCCTGCTCAACCTGAACACACCGGTGGCCAAGTCCGCCGGGGGCCGCACCTGCCTCCTGATGCTGGCGGCCCTGACGGTCGCCGCCCTGAGCACTTTGTGCCACTTTGGCCGGCCGTCCCCAGCGGCCTGCGTCCTGAAGCAGCCTCTGTTCACCATCAGCTTCTCTGTGTGTCTGGCCTGCATCGCGGTGCGCTCCCTGCAGGTCGTCTGCATATTTAAGTTTGCGTCCAAGCTGCCGCCAGCCTACGACAGGTGGATGAAAAAGCAGGGTCCAGAGGTCACCATCCTTCTGGTGTCCGCCACTATCCTGTTCATCTCGGTGCTCCGGGTGTCCGTCGACACTCCGCAGCCTTCCCAGGACCTGCACTTCTACCAGGACAAAATTGTCCGGGAGTGCAGTAAAACCCTCTCCGTCGGCTCCGGCATGGAGCTGGCGTATGTCTCGCTCCTCAGCGTCCTCTGCTTCTCTTTCAGCTACATGGGGAAGGACCTGCCGGCCAACTACAACGAAGCCAAGTGTGTCACCTTCAGCCTGATGGTGTACATGATCTCCTGGATGAGCTTCTTCACCCTCTACCTCATCAACAGAGAAACCTTCACCATGGCGGCGCATGTGTTCGCCACGCTCTTCAGCGTCCTGGCCTTCCTGGCTGGATACTTCCTCCCCAAAATGTACATTATCGTTCTGAGGCCCCAAATGAACACCACAGCACACTTCCAGAACTGCATTCAGATGTACACCATGAAGAAAAACTGAAATAGGCTCTGAGTCTCGAACCTTTATCAAATGACCACAAACTGTTGTGTGATATATTGACATTTTCAAAGTAATGCGTAATTGTAAAGTGGCAGCAAAATTGCACACAGTTTTGATATGTTTTTGCAAAATGTCAGGGAGAAAGATCAACAGAAAGACAACGGCAAAACTGTGGTAACACCAGGAAACAGCTCGTCAAACTTATATTTCATCTGTTGTTACGTTTATAGCCCAGATTTTATTTCACCATTATTTATGTTTTTTTGTTTTTGTGTTTGAGTAACACCTTTTAAACTCCAGATTTTGACAGTACCAGTGAAAAGTGACAGAATAGAGCTTCGACTTTTTAACATTTTACGATGTTTGGTTTGACAACGATAACATTTTATTAATCTTATTAGTTATTCTATGTCGGCTGTGGAAGAAAGATAATCAACAGAGAAATGAATCCTGTAGACAATGAAGGGAAAATGTTGGGATGAGATTAATAAAGTTGAATTTGGTCACACAATTTTGTTACCGTGAAATATGAAGGTGTCATGTGACTGAGGTTCCTGTGAATCTGCCTGCTCTGGGATGAAGTGAGCGTACCTTATCCACCAACCTCAACAAATAATCTTAAATTTATTCCTTTTCAGTTCAAGTCAGACATTTTTCATGCTTCATTTTCTAGCTAGTGCATTCTCAGACACATACACCAAGTTTCTGAGTTATGTATTTTTTAGTTTTCTGATCCAGAGGAACACTTTACATTTAACATCACAACACATTTTGATGTTTCCGTTTGGGATTGTTTGTAATAAACACACGCAAAGAAGCGCATGAAAAAGGGATATGTGATTTTCTTTTCTTTTTTTTTTTGGTTGAAATAAAATCTGAAAAGTGTGGCATGCATTAATATCTCATCTGTCACTGCAGTAAAAGCTTCAAGTCTCGTCATTTTTTGTAAAAAAAAAAAATGAAAGAGAAAAACAAATCAGCAAATCAACAGAGACTGGAAGCTTTGCCCTTGAACATCAACTTTCAAGTTTTGTAACAAATTCTACTTGGATTTGCATCTGGGCTTTAATTAGGACACATCTTGCCTAATTAGGGTTACGTCAAGTTTTTCGGAGCCTCTGACAGGATTACTTTGTATTTAGTCCGATTCATCTTCCATTAAACTCTGACCAGCGAACCCGAAGAAAAGCATAATGCTCCCATCACCATGTTTCACCATCGGTCTGGTGTGTTGTGGGTAATGTACAGCGTTTGCTCTCCTGCCTGCGGTGTTTCTTGGTTTTCAGTAAGTTTCATGAACTTCATAAAACAACTGAAATTCAATTTAGATAAAGTCACCTACTTTGATAATTACATATAGAAAAAACACTGCTTGAGGTTGCAACACACTAGGGCTTAGCATAGAAATAGTTTTCATTTGACAAAAACAAGGATGAATGTTGAAAGGGTGTGAATACAAACAACAGGAAGTTAAAAGAAACCAACACATTTTCATGAAATCTTTCTTCCTCGGCTTCTTTGACAACCAAAATGACATTTTCTGTTGCAGCAATTTGACACTATAAACTGCAGCCTCGCATCAATAAATGCAGAATCTGCGTATGCGCGTGCGCTCGTGTGTGTGCACCCTTGGCTGCTGTGTGCGAGGAGGGAGAGATGAAAGGCTCCTTTGTAGCAAGGAGGTCAGCACCGTTGACCAGTAGATGTGTGAGTAGAGCCCCAGCTCGGCTTTCCCACAGTCTGTCTGTCCACTCGCAGCCAAAGACCCTCCGTCAACAATCGAAGTGTGCCACGGCTGAACAAGCAGGAGTTTTATTGTGGCGGCGCATAAAGGCCAAAGCTAAAGGCCCTCTGGAGTTCACAAGTCTTGTTCGCATTGGATTCTGGTTTTAAAACAGAGGAATTTAAAAGACAAAAAAGAAACAGAATTATTTTCTTTTTAACTTTTGCTGTTCAATACAAAAAGATAATAATAATCCTATAAACATGTGCAAAAGGGACATTTGTAATAAAAAAAATTATTTTCCAGCTACAACGTTTGGCGCCAGCGCTGTCAGGCAACCATGAATGAAATGCATTTTACATACAAATTTCATTTAACTAAGATTGCAGCAGATTGTTCCACAGCAACAATCAACGAGTGAGTGATTGTAATCTTTCTCCTGATAGCTTCCCGCTGGATGACACTGATGGATCAAGCTCTGTTTGGTTATTCCCTGGACACCCATCAGGAGATGCGGCCTGGATTCCCCTGAGTGGCTCCTGAGGGGGAGATAAGCAGCAGCTCCTGATGAGAGGCGGGCAGCCCATCGGTGCAACGCTGACTTGTTTAACGGGGACGGTTTTATCTCTGCTGGTCACCTTGAGATCTCCTCCCCTCTGCTTAGTGATGGGAGTCCCGGCAATTAACGCCAAAGCTGTTGCTGTAACATGTGGCTTTGTTGTGCTGATATTACACCATGAACAAGAAGCAGCTCTTCCAGAGACATGAAAGGGAACGTCAGCGCACTCCTCTGTCCACAGCAACGGGATGTCAGAATGAAGACGACATCAGAGTGCTACAGATTATTCTTTTCGATTTGGACACTACAAATGCGTGTTTGTCGTTGACCAGAAGAGTTATTTTATTTGTCTCAGTCTCATCGTAGAGGCTTTAATATCTAAAACATTTCCTTGTATATGTTGAAATCTCAGACCGAAAGTGAAGGAATATCGGTTTTGTGTCTGGTTAAGTGTGTTGATTTGGTCCTGTGTTTTTAAACAAGCAAAATTAGACTCAGCGATAAAACCAATTTTTTGTTTGTTTGTTTGTTTTTTGGTAAGCAAACTCTTATCTAAATGACTTTATGTTTCAAAGAATTCACAATGCCATGCTAGCTGGCTAGCAAGACTCAGACGACAGTAGGAGTAGGAATAGGCCCAGAGCATCACAGGTCCTCCATCATGCTTACTAGTGAGAAATAGTAGAAATAGTAGCTCACTGTGTGTGCAGGTTGCAAGGTAAGTCTGGTTTCTGTGGCAACTTCATCCTTAATCCTCATTAAAAACAACAACAATAATAATAATAATAATAATAATAATAATAATAATAATAATAATAATAATAATAATAATAATAATAATAATAATAATAATCCTTTTTCTTTGGGTGTTTTTCAGGTTGCCTCCAATGAGGTTTAGTTTTAGAGCTAAAATAGCTGCACTCGTGTGTTCGAAGATAAAAGCTACAAAATATAAAAGCCAACTCGGTTATAATTTAAAGTTTGGAGTATATATTGGATTGTCATCACTTTAGTATAAAAGCTGACTGTTGCTAATTAAGTCACCTGAGGTGGAAGTCATTTCAAATAGCTTATCCTTTGCAGGGACACTAAACAACACCAAGAGTGATTGCATCTTTTTTTTAATTAATTGTCACACAAGCTTGGGAAATTAAAAAAAACAAACAAAAAAAAAAAAAAAGGTCAAAACCTTAAAAGAAAATGTTAACATCAACATCCATCCAGACAATATCAGGACATACATCCACTTGTGGGCTAATAACTAAAATTTGGCATATAAAATTTAAAACAGAAGAGAAATATTCTCAAAAAAGGCTGTCAGTAACACACAGTGGGGCAGAAACATATACTGTTACATAAAGCAGACCCAAGATAAACTCCACCGGAGTAAAAAACTATCACATCACAAAAAAAAAAAAAAAAAAAAAACTGTGTCACTCAAAATGAATCCTCAGTTTTTAACACGAAGAAAGACAAATCAGGCAACAAGACAGAAAGCACATTGCGTTTACTTGTCCATCAATGTGATGAGACAATAAATGAACCCACGCTGAACGAGCAGGATGGAAATAAATTTCCTACATAGTGAGGGAGAGAACGGCTCCCCTCAGGTCTCAAGAGAGTCTCTCTACCACGGCCTCCACACCGGGCCTCTGCTGTTGCTGCTGCTGCTGCTGCTGCTGCTGTTGCTGCTGCTGCTGCTGCTGCTGCTGCTGCTGCTGCTGCTGCTGCTGCAGCTGCTGCTGCTGCTGCTGTCCGGCTGCGTGTCAGGTCTGAGCGGGGAGCAGCTGCTGGCTCTCTGTGTCTGACGGAGCGTCTGCTCTGGCTGCCGGAGGACCTGCTGAGGTCTGGCCGAGGCCTCCGTGGCTGAGCCCACGGACAGGAAGTGAACCGAGTCCCTCAGGCAGCGGGAGTAACTCTGACAGAGACCCGACTGCAGCTGCTGCCTCAGGAAGCTCACCGTCATCTCCAGGATGTCGGCCTTCTCCAGCTTGGAGTTGGGCTCCTGCTTGTGGAACTCCTTCTCCAGGATGACCTTGAGCTGCTCGATGCAGGTGTTGATGCGGTCCCTGCGCATTTTCTCCACTATGGGTTTCCTTAGCTGTGAAGGAGCAGGCAGGCGGGTAAGAAACCTGCTACAGACAGGAGGTTTCTGCTTTCAGAATCACAAATAAAAACCGTTTTTTACTCACTTTTATGTTGTCCCTCTCAGACATCCTGAGGTGGTGGATGGAGGAGTAGCTGTTGGGGCAGGGGGACATGTCTGCAGCTGAGCTGAGATGCTTCTCGCAGGGCAACACGCTTGGCTCTGATTCCTCTGGAGGAGCTCGCTCCGGGTTTTATATCGCCTCATTAGCATAACAAAGCCACGCGGTTCAGTCCGGGCTGGGGTTCCCACACTCTGACCAGTGGGACTCCCAGCTCCACAATGGAGGACGCGTCAATAAATCAGAGAGAGAGAGAGCATATCTGTGCCTGGTGTGGTTCCCAAGATAAGCAACAGGTAATTAAAAGTGTATCAAGGGGTCATCACAGAATTTATCAGGTTAGATGGAGATTTATTTATTTATTTATTTTGGAAAGCTTTAAAAGAGATGATGACCACACACATTCTTTGAATATTTCCTTTAGCATCTGAACTGTTAGATGTAGACCATGTGTGTCTCTTTACCCCAAAATATTTATAAAAGTGCACTAGTTGTACCAGAATCATTACATTTTTAGACATAATCTACTAGTGTAATATGACCTAGATACGGTACCTAATTCATGTCCCGTTTACACTTTTATAACATTACGACCAGAAACTTCAGTGTGTTTTCCTGGGATCTACTGTGTCAGACCCATGTTGTGTGCTTCTATAAAGAAGAATTAACATTGTCATTTTCATGTAAAACTCTGCAGTTGTTCTGTTGTTTCTGCATCTGCTTTCATCCTTGAGCCACTTACAAATGATAAAATAGCAATGCGGAGAAGCACGGCTCGCATTTCTTCGGACTCTTTGAGTCGGCACTCTGCTTTGCGTCTCCACATGCTGAAATGTTTACGCTTTCTGATTTTGCTTTGACTAGGCCATTCTAACACACACAAACATGCGTGTTGGATCTGTTGCCGTCCTGCTGGAAGCTGCGCCTTTTTGCTCCAGTGTCAACTGTTGGCGACCTCTATCAGGTTTCCCTGTGCCTGCTGAAGAAAGACACCCCCACAGCATAATGCTGCCACCACTTGTTCCTCCTTGTTGAAACCAGAACAACTGCTTCTCTTCATATTTTTTGTGTCCTTTTTAATGACTGGGTTTTTTTTTATTATTTATTTTTGACCTTTGTGTGACTTTGCCTGCTTCCATCCGCCCAGCTGGTACGTCCTAATTTCCCCCCATTGATTATGGAACAACTAGCCAAACTGCATCAGTTTTAATGGGCCAGTTTGTCAACACTTCTTCCTTTTTCAGGTGACGGACTGAAGAGTGAGGTCAGACCTTCAAACGGAGGGTTACTGTTTTATAACTCTGCTTTAAACTTCTTTACTGCTTCCTTAAGCTGTGTGGGGTGTTTGTCGTGTCACAGCTTTGTGGTTAAACTGAGTTTAAGTGATTCACACATGGACTTTGTATACTTATTGTGTGACTTCTGAAGGTAATCTTTGGCACTGAATCCAAAGTCCTCTAGATTAGCTTCAAAATCTCATAAAGATTTCGCGATGTGAAGAATTGTTGGTGCTTAAAACTTCAAAGAACGCGCCATCCTGACACGTATTTGAGTAAAAACTCCCAACCTGCTGTTTCTACCTCCTCTTCTCTTCCCGCCACGTTTGCTTTCTATTCATAACATAAAAAAATGAGGCTACTGTCTGTTCCCGTCACACCTGACGTGTCTGTGCAAAATCGGACCTTTCCCCCCCAAAAAAGGTTCAGTGTTCACCACAGTGTTGCTGGAGCTCTTTGTCTGCAAGTGTGTGGGAAGATGGGTTCCCCTCCCACCAGCGGCCCGAGAGCTCCGAATTCCTGCCATAAAATCCCGTCCATCACTGAGAGCTGCGGCGGCGCGGGACTGCTACCCATCAGCCATCTCTCTGTGAGAGTGGTATCTCTCGTTTCCCACACTCTGAGTCTATTCACTGGCCCTGAGACGGGGGACAATGGAAGTGTGTCTTGTTACACATCACATTAGCTACGGTGTTTGATCTCCTGTTGAAGGGGAAGAAGGGGAGGGGACGGCTGCAGCCAGGCCATCTGGCCTGGCATACTAGACCCTGAGAAAGTCTCAGGCAGGCATGCCACACTCTCCACAACTTCTGCACACAGCAAAAAAGAAGAAAAAAAAACAGTTGTGAAAGACTTTAGGAGCACTTGAGACATAATTCAAGCATCTGGCGTCACACCGCGACTGGTGGAACAGAGGAAAGTGGAGCGTGTGACCTGCAGGGGCGTCCCCGGCCCATTTCTCAGTTTCTAAAAACACCTGTTGGAAAACAAGGACGGACTAAACAAGGTGTTAGCAATCCCTGTGAGAAATACTATAGATGGGACGGGATACAATATATACAAAAAATACAGTGCTGGGATGTTTTTTCCCTGCTTATGGGTGTGTCGGTATTTTAAAGTAATTTTGATCAAAAGTCTTTGGTCAGGTGGTTGTGGTGGCGTAGGGGTTTAGCTCAACCCATGTTTGGAGGCCTTAGCCCTCAATGCGGACGTCGTGGGTTTGATTCCTGGACCAGGGAACAACCACATGTCTTCCGCTCTCTTTCCTGTTAGCCTACTTTCAAATAAGGGCCAGTCATGCCCACAAAAAACCTTGGAAAGAGAAATATATATTTATACATATGTATATAGTCTATGTCTGTCCTGGCCCTGCATGGGGTCATCTCTGCACACTGTCCAGACAAAGGATGCAGCTTAGAGGAGGAAGTGTGAGCCAGGCTTAAATTTACAGTCAGTAGACGAGCAATACCGAGTGCAAAATGTGAGAAAATGTAGAAAGTAAATAAATAATAAGGTTATATTTTCTTCTTGATTCACAAACATTGCAGTGTTCTTACTAGAGTTTCACTCAGCCTCCTATTTTCCAGCTGAAAAGGCCAAACAGTTTGACCACTTTGATAATTAAGTTGCAGCTTTAATTATTCATACTGGTGGCTTTTTCACGTTCAAGTGTGACTTCCAAAGCCTGACAGTTTTTATAATGATCATTTCCAACCTGTTTAAAATAATTTTTTAACGTGCCTTCTTTGAGGTTTAGGGACGTTTTGAGAATCTTCAGAGGTTTAGTGGGAAACAAAAACTTCCTGAGTTGTTTCCACACGTCCTTGACCAGAACACGAGGCAAGACGAGACACTTTTGAAGCTGGTAACTGTGGGAAGAAAAAAATCTAATCTGTGTGGAACACACAGACTCTAGCAAATAGCAAAGAGCAAAATTCTTCTGTTTCTCTGTCGTTTGCAAACGGGGAACACACAGCAAGCTCTCACAATTTGTAGCATTGTTTACACAACATGGTCACTCCCTGGTTTAATGCACAGTCAGTCGCCACAGGGTGGACAGGATGCAACCTCTTCCTTACTGAAAGGTCAGTTAATTATTTAGTTGACAAAAATCTTCTTGTTCAAAATATGGGAATTTCCAAAACTTAGGATGCTAATGGAACAATTTTCCATATCAAAAACATTGTAAGACCTCATACATACTCCGAGCTTCTAACATTCAATGGAGACATTTGTTAGACTTTAGGGCTTATTCCATCTTACTGTATTTACCTAAACTATCTGTTATCTGTTAACAAACTTTGGCGCCTTATTTTAGTCACTGACAGCCTACTGGAACTTTTCCAAGGAGAGGTCAAAAGGAAACCTATTTGATTCTTCAGAGACCTACATGTTTTAACAGACTGAACAATACGAGTGTTAAATGACTAAAGAATTAAAATAAAATTCTTAAAAGAAATAATTTTTACTTCACAGTAACACGAATGACATGTCATTCCTGCATTGTAAGTTTAACTCGCTACGTCTTCTGTTGAAGTATCTCATAAATAATTTTATTTAAATCTTATATTGCAGGGAATTTCTTGTCTCTCAGGTGAATGTTCAATAGATGAATGAGATCCAAGTCAAGATGTTATCAACACGGCATACAAAATAATGATTAAAATTAAGACAAACACTGATGGTTTTTGTTTAAAACTTCATCAGAAGTTGTTTTATTTCACATTTTCAAATGCAAACTTCTCACAGAAGCAACACAACAATTTGTTTCAGTAAGTCTGAAGCGAGAATAAAACACCTTTATAAAAGGCATTAAGTAGGAGATGTGAAACATCTATTATGGACGTCATAAACAGACAGGAAACAGAGCTTCCAGTTACACTCATTCAAATAAAAGCCAAACAATGGTTAAAAATACACATGTTACAATCCCAACAGGATTACAGTAAACATGGATCCACTGGCTCAATAAAGCTTCATCAATATGATGAAACATATAAATGGCTGGTACTCAGTATCAATGCACAGATTGTTCTGGAAAATGTCTCAGACATTTAAAGAAAATAAAACCAACATGGTTCAAAGGGCACAGCAATGGCTTTCCATTAACGTTCCACTCAGGAACAGAGAGGCGACTAATCACAGAGTGAGTCTTTTTGAAGGAACGAACACACATGGTGTGGATATTCAGTCCACACCGAGTATCCAGCGTGGACTGATATTCTGTTTTGTCTTTCCATGGGAAACCCTGCACAGCTTCTCTACACGAAGTTAAACTTGTGTCCAAGGTCGAAGGAAGTCACGACTCCACGAGAGTCTTTTACTTTTCTGTCCATGACGTTCACAGACGTAGTGATCTCTCTCTGTCTGTTCACCAGGGTCTCCACAGAGAGCCGCCGGTCGGGCCCAGGTCCTTACTGGAGCTGACCAGATGGAGGGGAGAGCCGGGCGGAGAGGGGCTGCTGAGGCCGTTCCTGTCGGACGCCTGCAGGGCCTGGAAGTGGCTGAGGAGCAGCCGGTGAGCCGGAGTCTGGACCTCGCAGCGGGACAGGAAGCCGACGGCCTCCTGGACGCAGCGGGAGTAGCCGTCCCTGGCCGTCACGGGGCCAGAGGTCAGGTGCTGCTGCTGCTGCCAGCTCCTCAGGTACGACACGGCCATCTCCAAGATGTCGGCCTTCTCCTGCTTCGAGTCCGGCTGCTGCCGGAGAAACTCTGGACCCAGCAGGGATTTCAGCTGCTCGATGCTGGTGTTGATGCGGTCTCTGCGTAATTTCTCCACCATCGGTTTTCTCAGCTGAAGGACAGAAAAAGGGAAGACAGTTGAGTAAGTTTGAATCACTTTTCATAGTCACTTTTCAAGGTAAGTGCCTAATTTAGACCCACACCAAAAGTAATAAGAAAATCAAGCAAATAAAGGAGTCTACGTTATTTTCCTTATACAAAAGAATGCCTATTCATTAAAGATCCAAAATGTTACAAGAGTTTTGGTGGAGTCAAATAAATCTAAAACCCTTTCAGGACCAATTGGACTTTAGTAACTTACATAAAAGCTTATTTTGGTGCAGAAAAAACCGACTGTTCAGTAAAAGTTATGATTCTACTTCGGTTACAAAGAAACATTCGAGTTGTACTTAATCATTTGCACAAAGCCAGTCACAAAAGCGGTCATTCCGCCCCCTCCAGGTCTCAGCCGGCGGAGGTTTACCTTGTGAGCGGGGGTCAGGTGCTCCTTGCCCGCCTGGCCGTAAGCAGTGGGCGCCATGGCTGCGGAGCAAGAGCAGCGCGTTGCGTTCAGCTCGGCGTGAAGAGCCGCGTCGAGTCCGCGCGGCCGCGTATTTATACACACACATCTCCATATGAATGTGTGAGTCTGAGTCCTGTCGGAGTTTCTCACAGTCCCCGGAGCCAATGGGAGCGCTGGGAAGGGCTTGAGGGAGCGCGGGGCTGCCACATGCTCAATGAAGTGTTTATAGCCGTGGGGACAATGAGTGTGCCTCCGGGGAGCAGGTGGAGAAATGGACCGCGAGAGAAAATGCCCCGGGGTGGTGAGGGGGGCCGGGGGGAGCTGGGAGAGTGACCCGGCGCTTGTGCTGATATGGGAAAGTGGTGACCCCAGAGGGAAGCACGCCGCTGTCTCATGTCGTCTCCTCTGCCACGTAATTGCGGACAAAGTGGCTCCGCCACCAGGCGCACGTGGGTGTTCGAGACGCCCAACATGCGGCCACTTCCACGTCCACCTGATGGGGGCAGCAAACCTCCCCGGTGCCGCCGAGCAGCAGGTCGGGACGGCGCGGAAACGCCAAAAGGACAAACAGGGAGGGGCTTCTACCGGAAGGAAGAGAACCGGAGGAGTCAAATAAGCGTTTAAAATAAATAAGCATGCAACTTTGTGTTTGAGGACGAGGTGGCGCCAGGGGCCCCGATGCGCCATCAGGGCCCCTGGAAGGTCTTTTCTGTCTTAGTGCTGAGATTAACATTTTGATGACATGCAGTCTTATTCAATAAATTAGGATCTACGTCCTGATCAGGCTTGACAGATTCATTTCGAAATTGCATATATAAATATGTCAAAACGGGAGTAATCTGATTAATCTATATAATGTATTTCACTTGGTGCTGGAATTAACAAGGGAACTTTTCAGCCATGTTCTAATGTGTGGAATAAGTCTGTATGTTTGCTTACCTGCAACTTTAAACTGTTTCATAATTCAGGAATATTTGTTTGTGAGGAATTATCACACAGCTCCCTTTTATTGTCTGATTTGATCAAGTGCTAAGAATATGAACAGCATGAGGTTCTGTGACAGTCAAAATGTTATCAAACGTTTCAAAAGCAGGAGAAGGAACTTCGGTGTAAACCAAATAAATCAAACTTTGTATTTTTCAATTTTGTGACTGACTCTTCAGTTGGTTGGCAAAAGATTTGATGTGTCTTAAATAAAACAAATATTAAAGATGCAAAAAACTTTTCTGGGTCTGGTTGTATGTAGAGAGACCATCGACGTTACTGGATTCTCGAAAGTGTGGCTTAAAGCTGAGATGCTGATGCTTGGATGTGTAAAAATATATATTCTCTGCATATAAATCTATCGATAGTTTGGTTTCTGTCAGATCACAATAAAGGAAGTTTCGGTGTTAGGAGAAAACAACAAATGTTAATTCTATGGTTTCATGTATTTGTTTTCCACAATATTCACATACTTTGAACTTTTTTCACATTTCCACTTTAGAAGCCCACGCTTTCACATACTTTATGCAGCTTTCAGGCATCAGACCCACATAGCATGCATGACCCAAGTAATAAAGTGGGTCTCAGTTCATCTTTACGATCAATCAAAAATCAATCAGTCAAGTTTATTTGTGCGACACGTTGCAGCAGCAAGGCGTTTTACATCATAAATAAACAAAATCACAAAGTTACAAAGAATACACCACACAGTCAACAGTTGAACACATTGTATTTTGCAAACATGTATCCACGGCTGTCGTTTGTTTCATCCCTACATGTAGAGACTGAAGTTTTTTCCCCAATCTTTGCAATAGAAAAAAAAAAAAGCACAAGTTCATTAACATTATGAGCTTGTTTCATCTCTGAATTTGTGTTTTCCAGTTTAGGCCTGGGGCTCGACCCAGCGTCGATAGACAAGACGAGGTCTGATATGTGAAGCAGACCTCACCCGCCTCAGTTAAAGTCATGATGCAACAATTAGCACCAGATTGGAGATAAAACACTAATAGAGCATCTCTGAAAGCCTTTCAGCACATATTTCAAAATATCATGATATTATTGACACTTTAGGGAAATTTTCCCTGCATCAAGGTGGGACCTTTTTAAATGCAAACAGAAAGGCTGTTGCTGTCCTGTTGCTTACACAACAACATTGACGAAGCAGTAAAAAGTCTTTGCTGACGGTGATCCGACTGCATCTCTAAAGAAGTAGCTTCAAGTTGTTTTCTTTTTTTTTTTTACATACTGATGTTGGAATCAGACTTCGACATACTGACTTTTATAGGTCAATCTCAACTAACACTTTCAGCTCTTCTCCTTCACTTACCTTCTGCTAGTACTGTTTCTCTTCAGCCCTTTACTTTTTGTGTCACTTTGAGAAAAAAAAAGGGGAGCCAGTTAAACACTTGTATCAAAAGCTTAAAGTCTTTCACATGACCAGCATTTCAGACTACCTGAAGAGAGCGAATTGTCAGAAGAATGCTTCAGTTGTTCGCGTTCCCGCTCTCAGCACACGTCAATACCCCAGGCACACGCACGCACACACGCGCGCACACACACACAGGCTGGTCAGCCTGCCGCTGGCCACGTCTCGGTCACACGCTCCCTTCCTGCCCGTGTGGAACGTGGGAGCTGCTGTGTTCCCAGGCTTCCCACACTTCAGTGTTAATGACTCCAAGGCAGGCTGCACAAAGGAAGTGTGGCCCGTTGAACAAAGGCCGAGTGACCAACCCACCCTTTAAACCACACACACACTAAGGAAGGCGAGCTTGTCAACAGGGCTTCCAGGCACACCATCTGGATGGATCGAGAGCTTTTGTTGGTCAATCAAGCATGAGAGGTGCACACCGTGAGAACTGGAGAGGCTGAAAAAGAGACGAGAAGTTAAATGAGAAGATCAAGTGTGTGTGTGTGTGTGTGTGTGTGTGCGAGCTGAGAAGCCTTCTAATTTGCTTCATCAAGATGGTTTTTAGGAATAAATGAAGGAAAAATTGGGCGTTTTTGTGATTTGTAAGTAACTGCTTTGCTAGAGGTCAAATGATGACCTAATGGGATCAGTGTAGATTCTTTAAACACATACATGAGTTAAACTAAATACCAAGAAGATACTATTTTAAAAACCTAGCATGTCATTGTTCACTAAATAGACACTTGTAAGGAAAAAGTTTGTCCTCCACATTCCCACCAAACATCCTCCTATAATAAAGCATCATGGGAGCCACAAGAGGTTTCTGAAGGGCCCCTCCCAGCCGTTTCTTCAGACTGGGGCCTTTGTTTATCATCGTTACAACTAATTTATTCACTTTTTATTGTCACTGCCTTGCTTTGTGATTGGTCAGACGCGGTGAGAACCAGCATGGCATGAAATGAGTGGGAAAGTTGGCGTGAAGAAGTATTTAAAGGAGGAAAACCTTGGTGGTCAAAATCATAACCTGGAAGACCTGCTGGAGGCCCTGAGCCGACATCTGACTGAGCGACCGTCATGAGGGATCAGCGCACGGCGTAAGTTCATTTCCTGGACGTTTAGCTTGAGTTGATCTAGAACTAGAAAGTATTTTAGATTGCATTAAAGTGGAGATTTGATTTAAAAATGGGGAAGACTCTAGAAGAATCCCAAAGCAATAGCACATTTTGGAAGTCCGCTTTCAATACTCCTACCCATTCCTGTGATGAATTTTACAAATAAAACCCAAATGTCTAAAATGTAATCCTGTTTCTTTTCAGCTTGTGTAAGATGAGCCTTTTGGAAAGGAAGTGCACAAACAAAGCAGCTCAGCTCAGCTCTGCGTGGGGATGAGCAGTCGGGACGCCTGGGACAGGCTGTTCTCCTTCTGCTCCACTAAAACACTCCATTTTCTCAATCAGCTTCACCAGAGCCTCCAGGGAAGAAGCCACGAGGCTGATCCCTTCTTCCCCTGCTGTGGATGTGATGCCGGACAAACTGATGGATTATATACATATATTTAAAAAATTGTGATTTTGTTTGGAGTGTCTTGAAGATGCTTCACTCAGGGAGGAAAACATTTTTTTTAAATCTTTTCATTTAGGGTTATTCATCTTGGGTGTAAATTGTAATAAAACAAAAACCCGCTGTGACTTTCGTGGTTCACAAATGTGCATTCTTTGCCTTGTCAGACTTGTAAAGAAATGGATTGACGTGGAACGTCCTTGAATGTGGACCGCGTCATTCGGATTGTTTGAATTAAACTGAAAGCTAAATATTCCTCTGATTAAAAAGGTCATTTTTATTTCACAGGACGTTTCAAGACGTTTATTGTGTATGAGACAGTTCCGTCTTTGTACTCATTATGCAGCGTCAGCTTTAATCTGTTTAAGATGTTCTTGAGCAGCTAATTCTGAAAGGAAAGATTTTGATTTAATCCAAGTGAGCTCCAGATGCTTGACTTCATCATGCATGTTGAAGTGTGTCGCCCCCTAGAGGTAGAAGTAGACCTCGCCAGAGAAGTGACGTTGCGCACTATGAAGAAACTGACGTGATTTAAAATGAGTGGAAACACCAGTTAGTGAAGACTTTCACAAACTGGACGGTGGTAAAAATAGGAGTTGTAAATATATAAAATGTATTAATTTAAATAAATGTGATCTCATCAACGTCACTGAATATAATGATGGTTTGTCCACATCCGTAAATTATTTCAGACTATAAGTTAGAAGTAAATGAAGAATATTGCGAATAAATCATGAAGAACTTCAAATGATCTTTGTACAGCAATAAGCAGAATGAAACACCCAGAGCCTCAAATATTTATCACTCCTGGAATGTTTCTACATTTTGTCACAACTCCAAACTTTGATTTGTTTCAATTTGCAATTTGAGGGAGGAAAAAAAAAAAGTCTGTTCCACGTCACAATCCATTTCTTTACAAGTCTGACAAACGTGTCCGTCCTGACTCTATTCAGTTTTGCTGAATAGAGGGTCAGCGGTTTTCAAATCTGGCCGCAGATTCTCCCATCATTAGAGGCTGGACTTTGACTGGGCCGTTATGACATAAGTTGGTATTTGACAACACATGTTGTATGTGGATCAAAAAGTTTATTTTGGCCTCATTTGACTAGAGCGTCTCCTACCTTCTTCCAAATATGGTTGCTGACCTTAAAACAATGATTTTCTTCTGGTCGCTCTTGCTGAGTTCATGACCAACACTTGTCCAATCAGCAGTTCCCCCCACATGAGCAGTGGATCACTGGAGATCCTCCAGAGGTATCGTGTGTCTTCTGACAGAAAGTGAAAAAGTTTAAGGCTCATGAATATTTATGCAGTGCACTATATGTGATGAGATAGCTACATGTGCAAACAGCAGCCAAAACAGAAGAGGTTACCCTTGAATCAGACTGAAAGTATTACAGCTTTATTAATTATATGCTAAATTCAAAAAAAGCAGACATTCAGCAACAGTTTAAACATTGTAGCATTGGG